GGGGGCAAAACATTAGGAAGAAGACAGAGAGAGACGGAGACAGCGCCGCTTCATTCTCTATGGCGTCACCATGGCAACAGGCGAGGTGCCCTTCTGCCGCCGCAGCGCCGAATATTAACCAGGCATGTATGCTCAGGTGCTAATTAGGAAGGGGGCGGGGGGGTGAGGAGGGAGGTCAGGAGGGAAGGGAGTGAGAGAAAAGAGTGAGAGGAGAGGTCAGGAGGGGGGGAGAGAAAAAAACTACAAGAGGTGACAACTCAGAGGAGGAGGAAGAGGAGGAGAGGGGAGGTCAGGACAGGGAGGGAGGGAAGGGAACAGGTGGTGAGTGCAGCGAGAGGAGGAGGAGGAGAGGGGAAGACGTGGAGAGGAGAGGTCAGGAGGGAGTAGAGAGGAGGGGAAAGGAGGGGAGGAAGGAGGAGACAAGAGGGAGAAGCAGAAGGTGATGAGGAGGTAAGTCAGTGTGTAAGGAGAGAGGAAGAGAAAAGGAAAACAGGGGATGTAAGAAGAGAGGAGTGGTGGAAGAAGAAGAGAGGCAAGGATTCAGTAGAGAAGGGAGGAAGGAAGGTGAGGAGGTGGTAAGTAAGGGTGTAAGGAGAGAGGAAGCATAAGAAGGAGAGAAATAAAGATTTAAGCAGAAATGAGTGGGAGAGGGAAGGGAGCGAGAGGATTTAGGAGAGGAGGGAGGAAGGAAGAAAAAGAGGTCAGAGACAAGAGAGAAACAAGGGGTAGAAGGAGAGGAGAAGAAGAAGAAGGAGAAAGGTGGCACTAGGGGAAGAGAAGAGGGTGAGGGGAGCATGGAGGAGACGAGAGGGGAAAGGAAGAGGAGGAGAATATAATATGAAGGAAAAGAAAGAGAAGAGAAAGGCTGAGAGGAGGATAGATGGAGCTGGGGAGAAGAAGGGATCAAGAAGAGGTAAAGGCAGGAGGGACATGAAGGGAGGAGTATAGAGAACCAGAGAGGAGGAGAAAACAAGAGAGAGATTAGGAAGAAACATTTTGATGATGGACAGAAATAAAAGATGAGAGGAGCAACGATGGGACAAAGAAGAGATCAAAAAGAGACGAGGGAGGGATAGAGGAGGAGAGGGGACTCTTAAGGAGAGTTACACAAAAGAGAGAGAACACTGGGGTGACAAGAGGAGGAGAGACAGGAGAGAAAAGGAGGAGGATGAGGAAAGAAAAAGGAGAGAAGGGAGAAGAAGGGAGGAGTTTATCACTGAGGAGGAGGCGAGAGAGGGGAAGACACATAGAAGAGAAAAACAATCAACAACATAAGGAGAGAGGAAAGAGGAAAGAGGAAAGGAAGAAGAGAAAGAGGGGAGACAGGGAAAAAGGGAAGAAGCTAGAGATGGATTGAGCTAATGAGTAAAAGAGGAGGAGGAGGAGGAGGAGGAAAGAAAATGAGAGAGGAAAGGGGAGAAGGAGGGACATGCAGAAAGAAGAGGAAGGAGAAGAGGGAGGAGAGAAGAAAACGATACTAATGGACAGAGGACAGAGGAAAGGAAGTAGAGATGAATAGAAAGAGGGAGAAGTGGAAAGAGACATTCAGAGGAGGAAAAGAGGAGAGGAGACAGAGGAAGAGAGGAAGGAGAGATAAGGAAGGAGGAGAGGATAATCATAAAGAAAGAGATGGTGGAGAGTTCAAATACAGGAGGGATAAGGAGGTAGGAGGGGAGGAAGGATATAAGCTCAAGAAGATACAAAGGAAGGAAGAAGATAGAGAGATCAAATATAAAGGTGCACATGAGAGACGTAATAAAAGGAGAAGAGGAAGGATATGAGGGGACGACAAAGAGGAAAGAAACACGATGAAGAGGAGAAGAGAAGGGGAACCTAACAAAGAGGAACTTAAGGAAAGTTAGGAGACAAAGAGAAGTAAGGAGACGAGGAAGGTCAGTTACAACACACATAAGAGGAGAGCTAAAGAGAATGAAGAAACAATATAGGATATCACTAGGAAGAAAGGAAGGAAACAAGGAGTGGGATGACGTAAGGAAAACTGAGGAAGGAGACATAGGAAGGAGGCGAGGGATCATTATTGTGGGAGCCTCACCTCCTCAGAGCCCAGGTGGATCTGCTCTGAGGTCAGAGGAGGACAGGGGAGGAGAAAGGAGGAGAGACAGAGGAGAGGAGACACAAAGGAGAGATGAAAGGAGAGGGAGCAGAGGAGATGAAAAGAGAGGTTATCAGAGGTGTAGAGAGAGGGATGAAGGAGGCGAGACAGAGGAGGTGTAGAGAGGGAGGGAGGGGGGTCAATAAAACATGAGGGAGTCGCTCTGTGTACATCACTGTGTGTGTGTGTCCCTTTAACAGGTGTCCTCCTTTCTTCTTCATGTGTGTATAAATATCTATATGTGTGTGTGTGTGTGTGTGTGTGTGTGTGTGTGTGTGTGTGTGTGTGTGTGTGTGTGTGTGCACATGGTTCAGGGTGTGTGATTTAGCCTCTCGCGTGTCCTCACGTCACGTGGAAGTAGTTCCGAGCTCACGCGTGCATGAAAGTCTACATATGTGAATGTGTGTGTGTGTGTGTGTGTGTGTGTGTGTGTGTGTGTGTGTGTGTGTGTGTGTGTGTGTGTGTGTGTGTGTGTGTGTGTGTGTGTGTGTGTGTGTGTGTGTGTGTGTGTGTGTGTGAGAGTGTCCTCAGCTAACACAGCTCGTCTTCACCCAGCCATGAGCTGCTATAAGCCTGAGAGACACACACTTATATCTGCTGTATATAGGTCAGTGCAGGGCCGTGCTAACAGTCAGCGCCGCCACATGGCTAACCCTGCATATCAACAGCAGATGTTCTGATGGAGTGTGTGAGAGAAAAATAAAAACAACAAATAATATTACATTATGTGTCGTTTAGTTTGATGTTTCATTTAAGAATCAGCATCAAACTATACTTTAAGTATAACTAATACAAGTATTCATGAT